CACATTTCCCACCCCGATCAAATACATTGTATTGTTAGTTGAGTATTCAGTGTTCTCCACTAAGGGTTTAAGAGGAGCGAAGCCCCTCTTTAATTTATTTGCGCCCTCTTTTTTATCTTCAGCACCCTCCTTTGTTTTCGGTGACAGGCTGTTTCACAGTCCCGGAAGATGTCCCGACAATGTTATTGAGAGACCTCTTATTAATTGACAGGCGATAAAACAAAGAACTAAGAGACAGATAGTGGCATAGGTGACAACTAGAACAATGGATTTGATGTCTGGGGAAAAACTGGCTGAATAAATAAACAAAAAACAATGAATGAATGCGTGAAGTGATTATCACAAGCATTGCATAAATGAAAGGCTAGAATTTCACAACTTGTTCCATTACACTTTTACAAAGAATAAAATTGATATTCTTCATTTGTCAAAGTTTATATTTTTTTTACACATCAAGTGGTTTAACTTATTCATCAAAATAATTCAAGAACATTAATATAGTACTTGTACACAGTATTTAATTGATGTAAATATAAAAGTGCTAAGAATTTCCTTTGAAATGTTTGATTAGTATGCTAATTATATGAAAATTAAATATGCTAATTTTATGCAAATTAGCACCCCTCTTTAAATTTTATTTGTGGAGAACACTGTACCACAAGGTATAATGTTTAGCTTTATCCAAAATTTTATTTTGCACCCAGGGATAGGCAAGAAACTAGTTGAAACTTTAGAAAATTAAACTAAAGTAATTATTTCAGCACATGAGAATTGTTAAACCTATGAATAAACCATATGGTTATTCACAACCTGTCAAAACACCAGACAGCCACTGAAACCTGTGACAACACTCCATTTTTGGGTGAAAAAAGAGACTTGTCCAGTACAAGTTGACACCCTATCCAGGGACTTCAATTACCACAACTCCCAGTGATGCAAGGCAACAAGGCCACTGATTGACAATTGATCATATTTGTAACACGCGTTGTGATGTAAAGAAAATGGTGTGTGGCTCTCTACTGTCAATCACTAACCTGCCAGCAAAACTACAATCTTCGTCATCACTGTAAGTTCGCAGTCTTCGCAGCGGGCTAGCTCCTCTTCCAGATTTATTATCAGTACTCCGCCTGCTAAAATACAAATGGTCACTATTTCACTATTTTATCTGAACATAGAAGAATATACTGTAGTTCAAACGTAGAAGACAAGTTGCACCCTGTGAAAGCATTATTTTGACTATTATTTTGTATTTGGTGCATCTCATTTTGTTCGAGGCTATTACATGTATAAAACATTTCTCTCAGACCGACTAAAACAGGAGGCAATATGAAAATGAAAAGCTTGCGTCAACCCTAATCTTATCAGCCCCATGTACTTTCACATTGACTTGATTGACCACATATGGGGTTACAGAATGAAACATTAAAAACTGCCTCATCAAAAACTGAACAACTTTGTTTTTTCTTTTGAACTACTATCCCCCCCCCGGATTGTGTTGATAAATTTATTCTTTCTTTTTGTATACCTTACACCCTAGAAGCATTGTTTTTTGTTATTTTTAAAGTGACATTGAGGGGGGTTGGGGTTAGAGGTGTTGGAGGATTAGTATCCAATGTACAATGTTTGAATGTTATTGTGTGATGACCCACCTTTGGGCTGAACCCTGGTAACAAACAAATAAACACTGAGAGTTTTTAACCTTGATTGACAGCTAGCATCAACACATTGAACTATTCTTCTAATGCTTGGTGTGAATGACCTTCACATGCTTACATTTTCTGATTAATCAGTACATCTTTGTGTAACAATCGAATCAAATAGTAATTTTCATGACATTTATTAATTTATAACTGATCATTTATATTATATCAATGGCATTCAAGAAGTCAGCGAAGCACTTGACCCCAGAAGACGGCCATCAACAAATTCTTATAGTTTGATTAGTATGCATTTCATTTTTGAAATTTCTATTTTAAAAAATTGTCAACCAACTTTGCAGAAAATAGTTTTGAAAAACAAATCTGACAATTGGGAAATTCATCTTTTTCGAGTGTTAATTTTCATGGCTGATAGTTTGTGAACACAAAGGACCTTTAATTTGATGGCCTTGTTGGAATCTGATTACTGAACTAGAATAAAGAACAATCAGCCCAGCACTCACCTGCTGTTTGCACTGAAACCATTACTTCTGTATGTTCTGGGACTTCTCAGTGGACTAGGTCCTCTTTCAGATCTATCACCTCTTTTCCTGTCACTTCTTTCCCTGTGAAATAAAAAACATTAAATAAAATAAAAATGTCAATCTTGTTTTTTTAAATAAAAGAAGGCAATTGCAATCAGAGCCAAGTCCAAGACTAAAGCTATTTATAGTCACACAAAGGTGACTTGAAATACACCATGGTTACTTCATAACAGTCTATTGATGGTCACATCAAATGAGAGGCAGTGTGAATTGAAACAATAGAAAATAAACATCACAAATACCAAAGCGACTCGCCACGTTGAAATGCGCGCGAAAGACTACACCCGGAAGAATGCATAAATACATTGGGCGTATGATATTTTTGAATCGAACTTTCGTTCACTGTTACTGCCGATTCTGCTGTTCGACACAGGAATATGGACCAAACTGTTTCTAAGCAGAGAAAAAGGTCAAGTTTTGGGAAAATGTGCGATTGCGAGTTAGTCTGACCGCACTTACCGTTGATGACAAGCTCTTCGTTCGCGATCTCGATGTTCAGACCTTCTCCTGTAAACGTCTTGTCCCTCAAGATTCCTCGCGCCATCTGTCTGTATTGGTGCCATACCTGAGAATATTACAGTAAAAATAAGCTTTTTTTCGTGGAAAATTGAGGTTCGAATTAGAAAACTGTGTGCGAGACGCAGACAACTTCAGCTGTTAGAGCTTTGTGTTGTAGTTTCCGAATTTGGCGCGGAATTTTGTTGCGCCTGCGCATTAACACAAATTCCTTTTATCTAGGGTCATGAACATTTGCCTTGGTCGAGTTGATTGTATCACGGAATTACAGTAATTCGCGATTGTATCGAATTATTCCAAATATTAATTATACGACACTGAAATCATATTACTACTAGATTAAATAAATGCATATTTTTTTGAAATGTAAAAAATAGAATATTTATGTGTGGCATCTTCATATCATTAAAGAGGTGCCGTGACATATATCATAATATTAACGACCACTTATCGAGCGTTTTTTTTTCTAATTGATTCCCCAGACATGAATGTAATTACTTTTATTCTAAAAATAAACAAGATTGTACCAAACTCATGAACTGATTGCTAAATTGTTTTGCACTTACCCCTCACAAATATAACCTACATTCCCACTATTAGGGTATGGTATATTCTACCTTGTTCCCTGGCGCCTGCATTTATTCCTGCTCTCTGATTGGTTGTTGCGATGTTGTTTTTCAAACGTCAGTCGACCCGCGGGTCCCTTGAATGCGCAGCTGATACACAAGAAAGCGGCAGGCGTAGTGTGTAGGAGCGTCATTTTATCTCATCCAAACCTTTTGCCGCCCATCGCAAAAACTCTTGCATTTAACAAGGAAACTCTGGTGCCGTGTGTTTCATCACAACATTACTCGTTCAGCAACGCATGTACTGTGTCAGCACCAAGAAAATATTGCGAAGAATCTGGAAGATCAGACGACCGACCGATCACATTCCACTAAGTTCCAAGTGAAGTTCCATATTGGTGCACCACTCCACCTCTAAATACACTGGTCTCTGCAATATCGATTACAAATATGGCTTATATAAACTGACTTTCTGACGACAAACAGTCGGATCTGAGTGTATGCGGTTTTTATTGTTTTTAAGTCGTACGGAAAAGTGCAATTTTAACGAAGAATTGGTCCGGTTTCGGTTCAGTCTCAACTACTCCGCATTTGGAACAAGGCCAGCGTTCCATAATACGTGTACAGATAGTTCATACTGCATACTGGGATAGCGTCGCCCTCGTCTATTTTAAATCAACGTTTCAATTTTTACTGACATTTGGTAACTTTATCATCCGCAACGATGGCAACACAATCAACAGCAAGGGGAAGCCTTTCTCTACCACTCGATTCCAACGAAATGTACTCTCCGTGTTTTGTGAGCAGAGCTTCCAGCTTTTCTCCAATGACTGACCTTGCTCTCAATCTGAGTGGACTCAGCACAAGGTATTTTATGAATATAAATTTACTAATATTTACAAATTCAGTAAAAACCAGTTGTATACATTTTTTCCTGGATCAAATAGTTTTCATTTCTTTTATTTTTTTTTAGTACACCCAATGTAAATACAATGCCTTTTTGTTATGTTTTTAAAATTTTAATCCTACATTTTTTTGTTGTTGAAAAATTATGATTTATATGGTGTTGTATTTTGCCAGGTTGAAATTTTATTTGGTATTTTATACTTAATTATTTTAAAAGCTTTGAGTTTTAAACATAAAATTCTATTTGGGGAATACACTTGCTTGGCGCAATAGACTGTTACCTAGCATTAAAGCACATAATTTCCTTTAGCAAACATTCTTATCTGTCCTTACAAGACTGCAGCTGCTATGCCACATTGCACCAACCCTTTATGGTACTTGATATATTAATAATTTGTGATCTAAAAAAAATTCCTAGCATTTTGAATATAATTTTTAATTAATCAATGAAGTTTCTGAAATGGTCTTTGTTTAATTTTTCTTCCACAGTATGGATGCAACGCCAAAAAGAAGACTGTCTCTTTCAAATTTGGATTTGTCATCGACACCACAAAGACCATCATCTCTGAGTTCTGATGCAGGTAATATTTACAACACATTTTCTTTTTCTTTATTTCTTAAAATAACAAATGTAAACTTATATACAAATTGATTCTTTGTCTTGGAGTGTGCCAATGTGACCAGCTGTTGAAATTGCCTTCCATGCACAAAGGTATTTAGATGCAAATTTTCTTTCTGTGGTTTGTCATTTCACCACAAATGTTAATGAAAGACTTCCTCAAATAAACAAAGGTGCTTATTATTCCAGCATGTGTTAATTGAATACCTAATGAAGGCTTTTTATCATAATTTGTTTTAAAACAAATCAATTTTTTTGATTAAAACTGGAGTGTGCCAGATGGTAACAATATACACTGGTATGTTGAAAAATGCTCACAAAAAAGACTCCTTAGACTAGTCAGTTATAGTTATAGTATTTATCGAACAAAGAGATTCACTCAATGTACACGCTGCCATCAGAATTGTCACTTGTGCTGTGCTGAGGAGTCTTTATGAAAAGGAAGTTGGTCGCCTTAGATATGTAAATGCAGTTCATAAAGGGTGGTACTTTTAAAAGACTGCTCTTCACTCATGCTTGCCATCTGGGGTACTGCTCAATCCTTGAGGTGTCTTGTTTAAATTGGTGTATAAAACATGGATTGTAAGAATTGAGAATTTCAATATTTCTTTTGTCAATATTGTTTATGTATATTGAAACACTTACAATTCCTCAGAAGGAATTAAAATGGTTCAACTAACTACTCAATCACATATTTAAAACATACAAATTAATTGTAATTATAATGCTTAGAATTTTTCCAGTGTAAAAAACTTCCTACATTTAATTGCATTTCTTTGTTTTCAGGTTGTTGTCTTGATTCTCCTAGTCCAATTGAATCACCTGCAATTCAGATGTAAGTAAAATATTAATTATGTAATTCTGAAAACAAAATGTTGATTTTTAGTTCAGTTTTTCAGTTTACCCCCCGGTTCATTGGAAGTAAATAACCTTTAGTTTTCATTTCTATTGCCAGGTCTTTTGATCAACCATGCTTTTCATTTGCCACAATGCTGAGTGCTGATAATGAATGCAACCAGGCTGACCAGAATGAAAACAGCAATGGTAGTAGCAGTAGTGGCTTTCAATCTGATAGTGAAAACTCAAATGATGGAGAGAATTTCCCATGTGTTATTAATAGAAAAAAACTAGTTATCAAGTAAGTTACTGATGGGCTTTTATTATACAAATTAATTTGTTTGACTAGTACACACAAAGATCAAGTCGAGGTCACAATTTTACATACTGGTAACAGTTAAATAATAACGCGTGTTTGCGAGGACAATATCCTGATCTGTTGCCTGCCCCTAGGGATGGTGGTCATGACCAACAGTGAGATGTGATACTTTATTTTATCTCTTTCAAAGACATTGTTTTTACTGGTAGATTGAACAGTGTGGAATAGTGGTCTTTGAGTGAGGTGATTGCACAACGTTACATATTCCCACTGTATTATTTTTTCAGGAGACCATCAGCGTTTAAAAGAATCAACTCGATGCCTGTGAGTTTGACAAGTGCAAGCAGGCAGTGTAATAAAGACATACAGTTCATTAATAGTGCAATTCCATTTGAAAAAACATTGTTTCAGGAGAAAGAAAATTTTTCTATGGTAATTAAGATTATTGGTACATTGTTATTTTTAACTATTTCACATTCAACACAATCTCGGAATGCAATGATATTATGCTGTGTATTTATTGGAATATTGTTATTTTTCCAGGCTCGTCCATCTTCTAAAGTTGGCTTATCTACACATGATGATTTTAAATTTGTTGAGCCTCTTCCACCAAGGAAACCCCTTGGCAATGGTAGCAATAATTACTCAGGATCAACCCCTCCTAAGAAGAGGCCCATCTCGGCCCCAGCTACACTGGTGAGTATTGTATTCAGCATGTAACATTCATATTTAAACATTAATACAAGATGTATACATTGTCATGCAACTATCATCATTATTATTTACCTTTTTTATTCCCCTGTCTTTTCAGTTCAACTTTGGCAGTCCTGTTTCGTTGTCAAAATCAACACTCACAAGTACAGAAGATGATGATGATGATGGATTTTTGGAATTGTTGGACACTGAAGCACTTGAGGTAAGTTATTTATTAGAAGAAATTCTAATTTGTTGATACCACTTATCAACTTGTAATAAGAATGTGAACCTAATGACTTGTTATTATTTTCCAGAGTAATCCTATGGAGATTTCAGGGATGTCCAATCTTCTCAGTGCTCCAATCCACACTGACCAGGGAAGTGATAGTATTGACGGCTGTTGTGATCTACCTCTTAATCTAGCAACGAAATTCACAGACACCCCAACTCTTGGATCGCGGACAAAGCGTGGACTTTTTCGTTCTCCCAGTGTACCTTGTGCAATGTCCAGGACTAAGAACAGTATGCACAGAAGCAGTTCATTTTTGAAAAGACCTGAAAGACCAGTTGACATGCATAGTCCTATACAGAGTAAAAGAAAATGTTCTGTTGCAAGTCCATCTGTTTTTGATAAATTCACCACTCGGGTGAGTAATTATAGTTACAGACAACTAATTTTGACAATTTGAAAGTTTATATACTGTCACCATGTGGTCGTTTAGCGTCTTTAAATAGAAGTTGACTGACAATTTTCAGTCATAGACCTAATCATTGAGAAGTGTGGAGCTGGGTAATTGTGCATTCTGTGGTGATTAGAGGACATGATATGTAAATACCAGTACCAATATAATAATTGTTTGGGTTCAAAAGATCTAACAAAGAAACATCGGTTATATTCTTCATTATTTGTTGATTTTTTTACAGGCTGAACCCAGTTGTAAACTAAATAGATCCAAATCGATAGCTAATACGGCACATATTGATCGAGCACTTATGGTTGGAGGTGATCAACAGAACCTTATAGGAGACTTTTCAAAGGTTAGTATAATATTTTTCAGGCGTTCAGGCTAAAATATTGGACTTGAGCCAAGTTATATAGGCAAACACTTCATTTTCTTGGCTCATCTCCAATACCACTCAAGGTCAATTTAGCTTGGCAACAATGTTTCAGTTACAGGCTCCAGATAACAGTATAAGATTTTTGAAATAATGCAAAAATAAAATAGAAAGTTAGCATTTTCAGGTAATTTTCCTGAATTTACTGTTTCCTAGCACTCAACTAATTAACTGTTCTTTATTTACTTTTAGGCATTTTCATTACCGTTGACAAAAAGCAATCACCAAGATTTGAAGTCTATCAGTTCAGAGACCATGAGAGACGTTTTGAATAATAAATATGATATAGACTATAAGATAATAGATTGTAGATATCCATACGAATACAATGGAGGACATATACAGGTATGGCTATTATACAAGTTACCCTCATTACATATACAGCACTATGCATCTATGTTTATTTGCTCTATTAGTGGAGCAAATGTGATTATGTACATGATAAAGGTATGGCTGTGGTCCAAATAAGTTTATTTCGATGTTCCAGCACACATTGCATGCAAATGTAGTCTTCTTGGAGATGTGCTTCCAATACATCAAATATGGTGCATGGTTTACTATTCTGCCGGCATAACTGAGAATTTCACTTCAACAGAACATTAAATATAACCAGTGGTGCATGCTAATGATTTCACAATCACCATTAATTAAATTTCTTTTGTTGTCATTGCGATTTCATATTTTGTGTAGTTTGTAAAATAATTTTATTAAACTAACACAGCAACTCCTTATTTCTTGTTGTAGGGAGCAAAGAATATTTACACAAAGGATGCTATCATGGAAGAGTTCCTGAAACCAGGAAATTGTAAGCGAAATGAGAGTGGAAAACCACAAGTGCTTATATTTCACTGCGAGTTTTCATCAGAAAGAGCTCCCAAGTTGTATAGATTTCTGAGAAACAAGGACCGTGATGCAAACAAAGACAACTATCCAGCTCTGAATTATCCTGAATTGTATCTCTTGCACAAGGGCTATAAAGAATTCTATGAAACTCAGAAGGTAATAAAAACATAATTGCTAGTGACATATTTCCAATGCTTATTTTTGCATTTAGTGTATACAGATAAATTGCACGTTTCTACTGTACTTGTGCCATGATTCTGGCAGCCATGATTGCATAAAGAAGTCCTAGAAAGAATGTGCAGATAAAATAAAAATGTAATTTTGGGACTAAAAAAGCTACCATGTCATTTATGTCAGTGGGCTACTTATAAATAAATTACGATAGTTTTAGGCGTTTCATTGCGCAATAAAGTTGTATGATTTCTAACAATTTGTTTTTCATTATGTTCACAGGAATTTTGTGACCCAAAAAACTACGTCATTATGCTTCACAAAGATCATGCTAATGACCTTCGACATTTCAGACTGAAGTCCAGATCCTGGGCAGGAGAACGTAGTAGAACGACGGGTCTGTCATCAAGATTCAAGAACTTTTAATATAGTTTGAAACCATCCAGTTTGATGGCCAAGCTATAGAAGTGCAATATCAGCTTGAATGTACAGTGATGTGATTTCCCAACTAAGATAACAATGAATTGAAGTGTGTATGAATGATGTATATATATGTACAAAACATACTTACTATAACTCATGCCACAGGACAGTTTCACTGTTTAAGGAGTTGTGTTTTAACATTGTTTTAAAACTATTTATGATTTCATTTATTCATAATTTAATTATTTTCATAGACAAAAAAGTTTCCATTCTATTATTCTGTTTTTAATCAGTTTGAAGTGACATCTAGTGAAATTTTTGACTTGTACATTGAAATGTTTTTATATATACCTAAATTATTTTTTTGAAGTGTCTATTTTATGTGTCGGCTTTCTTTTCTTTGCTAGAATTCCTTTTAATTTTTAAGAGCCCCATTATATTATAAATATGACTTTATTCTTGTTTGTGGCTTGTGGGAGTATCAAGTCTGGAATAACCTTGCAATGATAAACAATTTGGGCAGGGTATTTAAACGACTTCAGAGATTGTTATATTTAAATTATTGAGAATTGTAATCATAACATTGTCAAACAAATGTTTATTTTTTTCAGTTGAATGGCATCTCTAGTGACATTCAATGTGCTTGGTTTTGGAGAAAAAAAAATAATGGCTTATGAAATGTAAATAATGTGGCACAGAAATGCTATCATACACGCCAAGTTATAAGCTATAATATGCCTACTTATGTTTTCTGTTTAAAGCCTAGCTTATACTTTTTCTGTGCAATTACTAGGGAGGAATACTGCAGTGAAGATGCGATTGACATTTCTTTTATGAAAATGTATTTCTGTTCTGTGGATACAATTTGCTGATCTTTGGTTGTAAACAAAGAGGTAAAACCTGTCCAACACCAAAACAAAGTTTATTTTTTGGTTTAACGCATCAACAGCCTTAACTAAATTTTTTTTTCATATTTGCTCTATTAGAAGTGCATATGTTTATGTAAATGCCCTGTTGAAAACAAGTTTGTGTTGGTTTAATATACTTATTCCACCCAGATGAACCCTTTGGCCTTTTTGTGCTTCTAATGGAGTAAGATAGTATTTCTATTGTATATATTTATGGAGAAACGTTTCCTGCAATCAGTGCATTAACCACAAGTAAAGTTGTTGTGAACTTTGTCAAAATAATTGGTCGATGTGGAAGTTAGTAATCATTGAATTGTTGCAATATTTGCAATGATGTATAATGCTCAAATTAAAGTTTAAAGTGTTCCATTTGGATATGTAACTCTACTGACCCTTCCATCATGAATCGTGTTACTGAAATGAATCATTTTGAATTGAACTGAATCGGTTTTAGTAATAAATCACTTTAAATTTCTGACATTTTGCATTACTTTTGTGTTTATAAATGACTGCCATCTGTGGTTTGCAAAGACCAATGCTTCTCTCTGCCAGGAAGTGGTTTCATGAAATTGGTTACTTGTGGAAGTACCATATTAAGGTAAAGGCCGACTCATAAATTAAAAAACCCAGAATTTATTCATTTTACGACAAACTGACTCAAAGGTAATATAAAGATATTGACTTTAAAAAAAGTTGGGGGGTCACCGTCCATATTTTTGAGAAATTGATGGTTTTATTTTAGTGGAAAGTCGCCATTTTGGCACTATTATAATGCTTTTACCATAGGTTCCTATGGCAGAGGTATTATGCAATATTATCTAAAAATCTAGCCTGGTGACATGGGCTGAAAAAATATATTTTTAATGGAGTACTTTTTGTTCTGAATTATTTAAAAAATCTGGGTTTTAAAAATTGTCAAAAAATGCAATTTTTCTTTAACATTGTATTCTATGAAATTGCTCTAAAAATGGCAAGAAAATAGGACACGTTTCTCAAAAAGCACAACTGTAACACACAAAATAATGCTATTTCATTATACCATGAGACATTACTTCATAATTGTACATAATAAACTAATGAACATTGTCATGCGATTTATGACCAATTTTGTCAAAAATTATGAGTAGGCTTCTACCTTAAGGTAGAGATGCAGGTTCGTGGGCACTTGGGAGTGAATTTTTTTTTTGTGCTTTTTAATTGTCCAAATAGTCTTGGCTATAGTCTATTACAATTTTGTAGAATTGTGAATAGTGGAAAATACTCGAAAAACGATTTAAAAATAGATAACTTTCTCTCTTTTGAATGCTTAGCAAGATTTAGCAAGGCTGTACATAAATAATCAAAAAGAAACATGGTGAAAAAAAGAAATGACGGGATCTCCATATTATGTACTATATTTAACTTTTAACAAAACGATAATACATTTAAATTTGGAACTGTTACAGCCATTTTAATTATGAGCATTAGCAATGATGAAC